AATAATTTATTTGCCTGATTTACCTTCTTCTCACAATGGCCCGAGAACTTCAGTTCATTGTCAACATACACACCTAGGCCCTTCTCACACAGTCTCAACTAGTGCAGTTTCTTCATCCCTTTGGGACATATGATACGCCTCCTTACCGTTGGTACGCCCCAGGTGCATCCTCTTACACTTCGGGACATTGAATCTCAGCAGTCATTCCTTGGACCATTCCTGGAGCCCACAGAGGTCCTTCTGCAGCTCTTCACGGTCAGCTTGGTTCTTAATTTCCCGAAATAACTTGGCACCATTGGCAAACATTTGTATGGAGGAGTGTGTGTGGTATGAGGAACTCCAGATACAACCATTTTGTGATTTAGAATATTATTGATATGGATATGTATTTTTGTAAGCTTCGAGGAGGAAAACGTCAATATGTTTTGTGAATCCGCGCTAGAACGAATATGGGGGGAGAGACGCCATGGCGTTGTTTACATCCCGGGGGCCCAGTAGCAGGTGTGTCTTGCTCTGTTAGTGTGTGTTTGATAGATTGAGCATAATAAATGTTATATGAAGAATGTGATGATCTCGTGGAGGTAGTTTGTAAGCCAGAATAAGGCTAATTCTAGCGTTGCTCTCCAGACATTCACCCTGGAGTGAGTCTACACCACCCCCTGTGTTGGGTTTATTATGTATTGTTTAATTCCTACTACTGTGTGGTACCCATATGTGAATATGACAACAGTTGATGCTTGTGTCCTTAATCTGTCAACAACATCCTCATCTTCGCCCCATCTACCGCAACTACAAGAAGAGTTTGCTGAAGGCTCATAGTCTCAAAAACAAGTTGAAGTTTTTGAAAGATTGCAGAGATGATAAAATTGTTCCCAAGTCCTGTCTTCCAAGTAGACTAAGAAATCTGGACAATCAAGCATTCTCTGAGTTGGATAAGGTGTTGCTAGATTCCCTTATCAAGAGTTCAAGTGATAGTGTGAAATTAGCCTTCAAGCACAGTGCTCAGTGTAAAATACTTATGCAAAACAGTGTTTGTGTTGATAAATGGCACACCATTCGTGATTTTGTATATCAACTTCTTAGTGAAACTGACAAAGCCCAAAAAAGAAGGTTAAATGCCAAATTAAATGCTCTGTTTGACGAGAGTTTTTTTAAAGAGTTGCCTCTGAAGATGTCTTGAATAAAGACGAAAGCTAAGGTGCTCCGTTGTTTCCATTTTCCCGTGTGATTTTATCAAGATTTATCTTACCCACGTTTTCATTGTGGATTTACATGATATATATATATATATATATATATATATATATATATATATATATATATATATATATATATATATATATATATAAACATTTGTTTAACAGTGCATGAGTTTTTTAAATGCCAAATTGACGTTCCAGGTTTTTAGTTGTAAAGGAATTTGAGAAAAAATTTTGTGAAATGGTAATACTAAGAGATTCTTATGGTCATGGGTGGGCTTGGGATTAGTTCTATAGAAAGATTTCTTAGTAATGTTAAGGCATTTGTCTATGAAAGATCTAGGGTACTGAAGGTTCAAGCCAATATTATAGATATATTTATATTCCTCATCAATAAATTCCGGGCTGCAAATTCTCAAAGCACGTAAAAACATTGATGAAAATACTGACTGTTTGACTATTATGGTGGGCAGAATAATAATGAATGTATGAACACACATGAGTAGGTTTCCTATAAATACTGAACTTAAAGGTGTTACCAATTCTGTGGATCAGACAGTCTAGTAAAGACAATTTACAGTCATGCTCTAATTCCACAGTGAATTTGATCGAGGGGGCTAAGTTGTTAAGTTGTGGCAGTTGAAAAGAAACTATTAAGTAATATTTTACCACCTTCAGCAGTCTGGTTTAGATATGTTGATGATGTATTATGTCTCTGGCCATGTAATGAGGACCTAAAAGCTTTCCTGCCACAACTTAGCCCCCTCGATCAAATTCACTGTGGAATTAGAGCCACATTTTATCAAAAGCTTTTGATACGTCTCTGAGAACAATATTGCACTGGTTTTTATTGCTGACGGCGTTAGCTATTGATTCACAAATTAATGCAATAGCCGTGTTTGTGCCTCGGTTCTTTCGGAATCCATGTTGTCTGGGGTTATATTTGTTTTCCTGTTCTAGATAGTTTCTGAGCCTGCTGTTGACTATTTTTTCTAGTATTTTCCCTGGTGTTTCTAATAAGGATATAGGTCTGGGGAAGTGTCCTGTTGCTAGTGAAGCGTTAAAGATCTGTGTAAGTTGTTCTATCAGTATTGTAGGTATGTTTTGAAGGACTGTTTTGTTTGTCTGACTTATTCCAGGTGCTTTATTTTTAAAACTGGTTATTATGTTTCTTATGTCTTTTGTGGTGATTGGCAAGGTTAATGTGTCTGCACTGATTTGTATATTGAGGTCTATTGTTCTTGGTGGTTGCCATTTCTGTGTGTTTAGTGTAAGGTGTGTTGTTACCATCTGTTCTCTTACTCTACAATAGTTTGTTTTCTTCTTCTGTCATTTTATATACTATGTTGCTTCAGAAATTTCTGGAGATTAGTTCTTTTTCTACAGATTCTGTAGCTTTTACCCCGTTGTCGTCTATAAGATGGCTGTTATCTGTGGAGTTAGTGCCCATTAGTTTTTTTTACTTTACTCCAGAAGAGTTTTGGGTTGTGATAATCGGCCTCTGTGTTTGTGATTATCTGGTTCCATTTGTCGTTGTGTGATTGTTTACATATTTCTTTCAGCTCTTCCTTTAGGTTTCTGAAGAGAGTTATTGTTTCTTGGTTCCAGCCGTGAGTATTTGTATGTTCTAGTATATTATTCAGTCTTGTCTGGATTATCTTCTGTTCGTGTGTTAATTGTGCGTGGGGTAGTGTGCGGTAAGTTGTTTTGGGGGTGTTATTTTCCATGGCTGTGGTGACTTTAGAGTACCATGTTTCCAGGGCTATGTCAATGTCTGCTGTGTTTTTATGTTGATGTATTTGTTCGTTTGTGTTGAGTTCTGCCTTAAAACCCTCCCAGTTTGCTCTATTGAAAGAGAATCTAGGGATGGAGGGGATTTGTATTGGTGATGTTGATAGAGTGATAATTATGGGCAGGTGATCGCTAGTGGTGGTTGGTCCAAGTTTCATGTGTGAATTCAAATGGTGGTGTCTATTGGTCAGAACTATATCCGGCTTCCCGGTGCTTCCTGCAGCTATGTAGGTTTCGAAATCTGGGCCCAGGTGTGTGATGTTGCCGTTTTCTAATAGGTCGTGTATAATCTTCCCCCTTGGGTTTCTGGTTCTGTGTCCGAGTATGGTGTGTGTCGCGTTTAAGTCTCCTATAAAATACAGTGGGGCATGCTATAACGAATCTAATTGGTTCTAGAACCTTGTTCGTTATAGCATTCGTTCGTTATAGGATTAATCCGTTCCAGACCCCCAAATACAACCACTTAACACAGAAAAATATAATATAAAATTGTAAAAATTGTAAAAAAGTGCATAAATATGCATCTAAACCTCTGAAATAAAGAATATCATTAATACTTGTAATAAAAAACAATAAATTATTTAAAAAAAAAATTAAATAATGTTCGTTGTAGGAGTTTCGTTCGTTATAGCATTCTCAATTTTATAGGTAAAACCGTTCGTTATAGGAATATTCGTAGTCGGATCCATTCGTTATAGCGTACCCCACTGTATGCTGGTGTGTTACGTCTCATTAGTTTTAGTAAGTCACCAGTCGGGAATGTTTGTCGTCGACAAGGTAAATATGTTGTTCCGATTGTTATTGGGCCTTTAGTTGTGTTGATTTCGACTGCTAAGAAGTAGGTTTGGAAATTGTTCAGTTGATGTGTGTAATAGTTGAAGAGTTTTATTTTGTCACTGTTTTTCCGTCGGTGTGAGTTTATGAGAATTATGTCTGGGTCTATGCTGTTGTATATGTTTGTCAGTTCTGTTTTTCTTGTATGTGTCCAGGCCAGGACGTTGTGTTGTATTATTTTCAGTGTTCTGTTTTGCGTACTCGTGGGTCGCATGAACTTGATGCGTGTTGTTCAGTTGCTCGGGTCTCTCCGGGGCAGAGTCTCTGTCTCTCCTCCTTCAGTCCTGATCTTATTTTCTTGAATTTTGATAAGTCTACGTTCTCGATTTTGTTGCATTTGCTGCTTATTTTTCCTCCACGTATTAGTGTTTCTATGAGTCCCTCTTCTACTCTGTTGTCTTCATATGTGTATTTGGTTGTTCCTTCTTTAATATCTTTTAACAGTCTCTCATTTGTTACTGGGAGTTGACTGAGTAAAACCTGATTCCTATGCTGTCTACGACGTCGGCTGGCCGTTGACCGGTGGGGTTCTCTCTACGTGGTCTTGCTGGTGTTGACTTAGCTGATTGGTCGGTTGTGTTCTCTAGGGTCTTGTGGTTAGTTGGCAGTGGGTTGTATCCATTGTAGTCTCTGCTCCTGTGCAATTTTCTTGTTGTATTATTTTATCTTCCCTTTCTTTGCTGGTGATTCCTAGACTGTTTTCGGTTATTATTTTGAAAATGTCTGCTGATGGGGCATTGTGTGGGAAGTTTACCTGTGGTAGGTTGTTCGCAGCAAACATTTCTCTGATAGTTTTTTCGAATGTTCCCGGGTTAGCCAAGTTGATTATGTGGGCATGTATCAGTGTGGCTAGTATGGTGAAGGGTAGACCTTCACTTAGCTTCAAGTAAGTGTTTTCTGCGTTGGTTTTATATAACACTTTAGAAGTACAGTCGACCCTCGTTAAAACGGACCCCTTTAATCCGGATATCGGATAAATCGGACGAAATCTGAATTAAGCGAGGGACTGTCCGTGTCAAATTTCTGGTTCTGGGATTGTCCAATAGATGGCGCGTGCGTGCCATCTGTAGTGTCTTGCAACTTTGTTATTGCAGCATAGATTTTGGTTGGATCAGTTTCTATATGTTTGTTCGATTTTTCCTTTTCCTTCATGTCTTTGATGATATCCTTCCTTACTGGGCATCGTGCTGCCAAAGTGCGGTGATGTCCTTTGCAGTTCAGGCATTTTGAATTTTCATTACATGTGTCTTTAACTTCCATATTTTCATACGTGGTACAGTTTTGTATCAACTGTGGTCAGGTCTTCTTCATGAGAGTGCTCTTTGTACAGCACAGCTTAAGCATTCATTAGTTATTTTTGACAGATAACTAGTTATAAAGGATAGATCCTGAAATCCTGTTTGATAATTAATAGAGCCTAAAAAGAATTAATGAGATCCCATCCTCCTCCTTTGATGTCATCATAAGAGGTCAGTGGATTATGTGGGGTTGATTCTTCTTCCCGCTCAGTGATAAAGTCTGACAAGTAAATAATTGGTAGCTCATGTACTGTGAAACCTTGAGTGATTTCCATACCTTCCAAGCCACCATGGACAACCTTGCTTTGTCAGACACCTGATCATGGGACATGGTTAGGGGGAAGTTGGCTGATGGTCAGTTTAGCCCTAGTCACTCTAGTTTAGAGCTTCCAAGGGTTCCAAGCCCTCAAAGTTTGGTGGACACATTTACAAGTTCATCTTTATGATGTTATTAAAAGACATTATGCAGCTTAAGAGAGCTGCCATCAGGTAATCATGGCTAATGCACACGACTGTGGGAAATGGACATGAAATGTTGGAGATGATTATGATGATATCAGCCTTTTCCTGCTATGGGTGGAGAGCAACTGAAACAAGTTGTCTTCACTCCTTCTACTTTATAGTTAAGATTTCAATTGTGTTTAATTACCTGTTTCTGAAAGAGACTTTCTTGTTGCAGGTGACCTTCCTGGAAATTACCGAGACTTAGTGTGCTTTGAAAAAGTCCTCTGGAGAGTGGGTCCAGGACTTACACCTGCAAACTTCCTGTTTCTTGGGTTGAGGTGAGTGTTCTTCTTTACTGACAACATGTTTGTTTATTTCTGTGAATTAATATGTAGTAATATCTAGATAATATACATGTTATAATATATTTTGGATAAAATTAGAGCAATACAGTCATGGGGCGGAGCATCTTTTCTCAGCTGAGAAAAAATGCACTACAGGTGCTCCTCTACTTGCGAAAGAGTTACGTTCTTCAGGCTTGTTTGTAAGTCCAACTTTACTCCTGTAGATACCAAACATATTGTAAAAAATGAAAAGATTATGGATATTTAGTCCAGCTATACCCTTTAATACAGCTTTAAAACCTGGCTCACTCTTCTCCTCTTAGGTAATGTTTGTTTTATCTGGAATTTTCTTCAAAATAATCCAGTCTCATCCACATTAAACACCTGTTCTGGCAGGTAACCCCCCTCATTGATGATGTTTGTTTCTCTGAAAATTTGTAAGTTGAACGTTCTTAAGTAGAGGAGCACCTTTATAGTGGTGTTTCCTTATTATTTCACACTATTATACTTAACAATATTATAAATCTCTGGCTAATAATAGGGACGGAAAGATAAATACTGATAGGCAAATGAGTTTTTTATTATTATTTTATTTTTGGGGGGTTTATGGGGGGGGGTGTAAGACGAGTGCTGTTTTTGGTGATCATTAACTTGTTTTACAGTATTAGTCCACAATAATAAGAAAATTTGGAAGAAAAAATGCAGTTATTGTTGGTTTGAAGATCAAATAACCATACATGATGGGTAGTTATTCTCGTTCAACTCGCGATAAAAACTATTCACAGAACTAACTTTCAGTTTTCACAGTTCGCTAGGAGAGGGTTTGAGCTGCACTACCAAAAAAAGAACCCTCTTGCTTAAAAACAACAAAGTTATGGTTGTTTGAACTTCAAATAATTTTAAATACATTTTTCTCCGCTTTTTAAATTTAGCGCTTCACCCTCTTCTAATGCTGAAATCAAGTTGTCTTCACTCTTTCTACTTTATAGTTAAGATTTCAATTGTGTTTAATTACCTGTTTCTGAAAGAGACTTTCTTGTTGCAGGTGACCTTCATGGAAATTAACGAGACTTAATGTGTTTTGAAAAAGTCCTCTGGATAGTGGGTCCAGGACTCATGCGCCTGCAAACCTCCTGTTTCTTGGTGATTACCATAGGTATGTTGATAGGGGTGACAACTGGGGTTGCAATTGTTGAGGCAACTAGATATGTCTGATTACAGCAAATGTGTTATTGTCAATTTGTAGGTGAAAGATTTTGTCCTCAATAGATGTAGGTTAACATTACACCTGGAGGCAAATGCCTAAGGAAGAAAGGATATTCCTTTTAGTTGTGTGAAAAAAGGTTAAAGAAGGTATATTATCATAAGTTTTCTTTTACAGAAAAGATGTATACCACTCCCACGAGGAAAGAACGACTATCCTTGATTATATTATCCATCCCTACAGCTAACTTCCATTGATGATGGCTGCCATCCCTAAAGCTAACTTCCATTAATGATGGCAGCTGTCCCAACAGCTAACTTCTATTAACAATAGTCGCCGCCCCATCAACTACCACACCTTCCACAGTTGAAGGCCACCATTTAAGGGTCAAACATTTACAGGGTATCTTGATTCAGTGCATCATATATAATATAGTGCTTTCAGGTTTATTTATGAATACCGTAATTACATGTATTTATACAGTAATTTATCTAATTAACTGATCTCTCGTTAATAGGTTTTCTAATTAATAGATGGAAATACTGTACTTTACCCAAATATTAATAACAATACATTAGGCCCAGCATCACTTCATTTCATATGATGCTAAGACCACAGGACCCTGCATGCTGGTGGGCCAGAGTCCATTGCAACGTGCTGACTGGTTGACTCGGAATGTAAGGAGAATAACCAGTTCACAGAATCCTCAGCCCCAATTTTAGCTGCCTTGTTTGTATTGTGATTCTAATATATGTTTGTGCAAGTAGTAATAATCTTTTAGTTACAATAGACTAATTATAGAAGAGTATCATAAATAGGGGTAGCTTTAAATGAGTGAAGAAACACTGCCCCCTTGCACCAACTAACGATTCATTCTACTTGTACTGTTACTCGTTTTTCCTAATTATCTCAATTAAAAAACAAAGTTAACACTAAACTACAATTAAATAATCAGTTTCAACAGCAATCCAAAGTTAGCTAACAAATATAAGTACATGGACAATCCTGCGGCAAATACGCTAACTAACGGTGATACCTTCATGCTAGTGATTACTCAAGTGGGAAAAATATTAAGTGCATCATTCCACTTTATACAATATCAGGTAAACAGCTATCGTGAAACAAAGAGAAATAGGAAGGAAATGTCACTGAAATATGACTTCTGACTCTTTTTTTTGGACTACATTTCAGTAGTAGTAGTATGCATAAACCCAAACTGAGATGTTTCACGAATAATGTATCTGTCCACAAGTTCCTGATATACCACAAGATGCAAAATGGATAAGAAATACAAATTACAAAACTGACTTTTAATGCTAGGAATGATCATACATCATGACATATTACTTTTGTTCCCATTGTAGAAAACTTGTACATGATTAGTCTTGCCATTCTATTAAAGTAATGCTAATTATAATCCCTACACTGTTAGTTGTCTTGAAGCATATAACTCTCAAATTCATGTGTTCAATGGGTATGGTAGGTGCTTGCAACAATAGAGCTTTAGCAATCTAACTTGGGACACTGTGATGAGAGGCACACACACACCAAACACCACCATATTAGACACTGGGCATGATAAGAATTAAGAGGAATTGTCTTTCGATTATAAATGTTTACAATGTGTGTTCGGTCCCCCTACGGCAGATCCCCAGGGCTTTTCGTTGCTATGTGGTGATGATTCGATGTGACGGAGGGGGGGTGTTAATGGTGATTTAACGTCGTAATTAATGGTTTCTTTTACGATATGTGATTTATGATTTGTTTATTTTCTTTGCCACTTGCGCTCTGTTGGCAAGTACTGGGGCACTCCTACAGTGGAGGGGCCCTCGTCATTAAGCCATCAGTGGTAGTTTCATGTTCTTTACATTTATTTTTTTGTGCACAAGTGGTGGTCCTCAGCTGCCAATGAGGAATTAAAATGGTTTTTATATTTAAAACCAGTAAATTATAATTTGAGCATCTTGTAAGTCAACTTGCACCTGGTACAAGTTCACCAGTGTTCTGTGAACTTAATTTCTACTGGTAGTTCAATTCTTTGATGTCTGGACTTATCTAAAACTTCATAACAGCAACACAAAAATAATTGCAAGTGAAACAAAGTAAACATTGTGCATGGTCACTGGTTGGTATTATCAGCATGGAAAATGGCCATAAAACATTGGTTAAATAAAGAGGGAAATTTAGTTCAGCGCTGCATAGTTTTTTTTTAACCAACTGATACTGTATTTTATAAACTGATGGCATTTAGGACACCATGCTATTATGTAATCACAGCTAACCCTGCGTAAGCATTCAAAATGACCATAAAATGAAATTGGTGGTCTTGTAGTACTCTATTTCTTGCCACAGGAGACCAAATGATTGGTCTCCTATTGTCTGTCCACAGTTTTCTTACTGATTATTACACTGAAACCCCTGAAGAATGGTTTGCACAAGTTTAATAAGACAATGTACAGAAAGTGGTTTTTGGATAAGGGAAAAAGTGGCCAAATGGTGGACAGCAGTTGGGGACGTTAACTTGTATATTAAAGGTTATTCCAGGTTTCTAAACTGTGTCTACTTCTGTAGTTTAAGAGAAAGGTTAATCGAGACTGACAGTACAGTAGTAATATATCCGTTAGCCAGAATCCTTCAAATCTGGAAAACTCTGATAGGCGGAATTAAAATTTTTTGAGGGGCACATTTTCTGGAAAATTCTGAGAAATTTTTCCCAGAACCTGGAAAATTCTGGGGATTTTTTTTTTCTGGGTTTGAGAGATGAAAATCAGGACCATTTTCCAGAAATTCCGAGAGAATTTTATCCGTACACAGAAAATTCCGGGGATGGGGAATATTTTTCCGGGTTCAAAAGATGATGTAATGCCCAATTTCTGGAACTTCCGAAAATATTTTTCCGTCGCCCTGAAAATTTCTGGGTTGAGGGATTTTTTCCCCCCGGCTTTAAGTCGTCTCGTTTCCCAGAAATCTCTCAATCCCAAAAGTGCTCTGCACCAATTGTTCCGGGTAACGGAGATATCACTGTACAGTATTTATTTAAAAAAAAAAAAGTCAGGTCCTTCATGGTAAGTGACAACAAAAATGCTACCTGAATATGAATATACATGGTAGATATTTTACAGTTTATTGCCCTTATTTTTTCCTCGAGTTAGTCAATCATGCTAATTACACAAGTAGAGAACTTTTACCCCTTGAATACAGACACATTCCAACATCAGTCATGAATGCCGGCCGCTGGACCAGAGTCAGTTCCAACCCAGCACTTCACACAAGGAACAAACTAGGGATTGATTACCTTAAGCATGCTGCCCACTGGAGAACTCTCAGGGTCACCGATATTGGAAAAGCAAAGGGAGGTTATGAGAATCCTGGAACTTGGAATCGCTGTCGGGAGCCTAAACACCACTCCTGCCAAGACCGTTACCTAGGGAACGGCAACCTGCCCTTTGCCAGACCTTTCCTTCACCCATAGCTGTATTCTATGTCCTCAGTATTAGGGTGATGTTTATACAGTACAGTTGTACCCCGCTTAACGCGGTCAATTGAACCCACAGGGTACCGCGTTAAGTGTACAACAGAACATATGGGATTAATTCCAATAGAGACTGGCCCGACCCCCAAACTCCACTTTTTGACGACACACAACTATGTTGTAGTAAAAATATTATCTTAACTTTATGATGGTATGCACACACAATTAATAATTAAGAGAAATATCAATAATATTAGGTTTTTTAACACTTACATTAGTAGAAAAGATGGCTGGGCACATGGGGATGGGGGGGGTTGGTTCCGAGGCAGATTATTGGCCCTCACCTGTATCACTTGTATCACTATCCACCACAGAGGCTTGCAGGGCCTCTTTGTCAAACCCCTCAAAGTCCGTATCCTCACTATAATTATCACTATCACTGACTTGGACCGGCTGTGGTGGGTGGCGGGTGAAGAACTCGGTAATGTTTTAATGACTGGGCGACCTTGTGCGCATCGTGCCCGCGCATATGAGTAGATGAACCGCGTTAAGTGAAAGTTCGGTTCTGTCGAGGCACCGCGTATATGAGAAATCGCATTAAGTGAAACGGCGTTAAACGGGGTACAACTGTATTTCATATCTTTTCATAATTTGTATTAGTAATTTCCAAAAGTTGTTGTGTTCTCTAAACTGTGAAGCGAGGATTCATCTGTCACAAAATTTCAAATAAAAATTCACAGCAAATACTTGCCTATTCACACCCAATCCCTTTATCATTTCTGAACAATGAGAAGCGATGCCATATTTACTGTGGTACAGTTGCGGGAATGTGTTCCTGCACCCCCTGTGGTAACCAGTGTCTCCAAATGGCACCGTCACAGTCGCAGTACAGTATCACGATTTATGAATGAATGGGTATTGATCGTGTAATGACAGACGTGATTGGTGGATAGGCTTGCTAATGCTATAGATCATATAGGTTGGCCATTTGGAGACAGGTTACCACGGGGGGTGTAGGAACACATTTCTGCAACTGTACTACAGTCTACAATCATAACAATAGTCTCAAGCGAAGAATTTGTCACCACACATGTGAGATAAGAGGAGGTGAACATAGTTTGTCGTACAGCTAAATAGATTGTGACAATAATGCTTGACTTGTGTGTTGTTTATGGCTATACAGTACTGTACAGTACTATATAGTACAACTGAATCACAAGCAGAGAAAAGGAACCATCTTATTCAAACTTAAAAACAAAGGAGAGGAGAAAGACCAAAGATGTTGGATAGCAGACTACAAGACCAGAAGTAAAATATTTGCCCCAAATTTAAAATAAAATCACTAAATTTGAAATACAGCATGCCGTTTAAATTCGCGGGGGTTAGGTTCTCAAAATGACCATGAAACGCCAAATCTGCGAATAACATTTGCTGACCAGGAGGGGGATTCATATTTACTTGTGGACTGTACAAAGAAATGTATATTCCCTTTACGTGTTTGCCCTTAGGACAATTATTTCTTTTACCTGCATTGTATATACGAGTGTGTGTGTGTGTGTGTGTGTAGACACATACACACACAAAACGCATTCAAATAAATAATAATGGGAAATACTCTCACAAATAAACACACAAAAAATTATTAAAAATGTTGAGTCTACCCTCAAGTTCATGGAATGGACCTGAGGGTAGGCTCAACATTTTGAATAAAAAAAAATCTGATTATTTGTGAGAGGATTTTCCCATTATTATTTATTTTTATGTGTTTGTGTGTGTGTGAGTGTGTGTGTCTACACACACGCACACACATATATACACATATATACATATATACACATATATATATATATATATATATATATATATATATATATATATATATATATATATATATATATATATATATATATATATATATATATATATATATATATATATATATATATACTGTATATATATATATATATATATATATATATACATACATATATATATATATATATATATATATATATATATATATATATATATATATATATATATATATATATATATATATATATATATATATATATATATACAGTCAACCCTCACTTTACGCGGTCCCACATTCCGCGTTTCCACGTTTACGCGGTGCCCTGCCAGAACCCAGGATGCTCACATTCCGCGGTGGGTGTACCCCTTTACGGGTGAAGTATAATTTTTTTTAATTTAGCTCATAAAATTCATACAAATTATCCGGCCAGAATATAATTTACATTGCTGGAATTCTTACAATTTGATGATCATTTTGAATATAAACATCATAGATTTTGCATTAGACATACAAATTTTAGATATAATGTTTACTCTTGAGTAAATATGTTATCTTTTGTGCAAAATATATGATATTTATATTCAAAATATTCCTGGTCTTACAAGGAATCCAGCAATGTCAATTATATTATCCTAACTTTAGTCTGATTTATTATTTATTACTAAAAAGGTAAACAGTCTGGTATTCCCACACATTTATCTAGTAGGGACGTTGGTGGGGGTTGGGGGGAGGGAGGGAGGGACGGCGACCGACCATCTGTTACTGTGTGAAGAATATTTTTTTTTTTATTTTAGCTCATAAAATTCATACAAATTACCCGGCCAGAATATAATTTACATTGCTGGAATTCTTACAATTTGATGATCATTTTGAATATAAACATCATATATTTTGCATTAGACATAAAATTTTTAGATAAAATGTTTAATCTGAGTAAGTATGTTATCTTTTGTGCAAAATATATGACGTTTATATTCAAAATATTCCTGGTCTTACAAGGAATCCAGCAATGTCAATTATATTATCCTAACTTTAATCTGAGGTATTATTTAATACAAAATGTTAAAATCTAAATTTTTCACCCAACATCTCTTGAAGGGAGGATTGGTGGGGGGTGGGGGGGAGGGTTGGGACTGACCGCGCGGTTGGAAGAGGGGGGGAGGCAAGGTGGGGTACTTTGATTGACAGATAGTGTCGTGAAGAATATTTTTTTTTTTTATTAACTGAAGATATTTGTTTTAGCTCATAAAATTCATACAAATTACCCGGCCAGAATATAATTTACATTGCTGGAATTCTTACAATTTGGTGATCATTTTGAATATAAACATCATATATTTTGCATTAGACATAAAATTTTTAGATAAAATGTTTAATCTGAGTAAGTATGTTATCTTTTGTGAAAAATATATGACATTTATATTCAAAATATTCCTGGTCTTACAAGGAATCCAGCAATGTCAATTATATTATCCTAACTTTAGTTTGAGGTATTATTTATTACTATACCTGGTTTTCCCCCCAAAATTTCTCAGAGGGAAGAGCCAGCAGTGTAGTGTGAGAGGGGGAGGGAGTCGTGTCCATTATTTGAATGGACATTAACTTGGCGACTGTATTTCTCTATTTCTCTTAAGTATTAATTGTGTGCATGTACCATCATAAAATTAAGATGTTATTTTTACTACAACATAGTTATGTGTCGTCAAAAAGTGGAGTTTGGGGATCGGCCTGGACTCCATTTCAATTAATCCCATATGTTATGTTATTCACTTTACGCGTTTCTCGCTTTCCGGGCGTAAAGTGAGGGTTAACTGTATACATATATATATACATACATATATATATACATACATACATACATATATATATATATATATATATATATATATATATATATATATATATATATATATATATATATATATATATATATATATATATATATATACATACATATATATATATATATATATATATATATATATATATTAATAAATTGGTATGAATGGAATGAGATATTTGACTGAGAAAAAGAACACTATGTCCCATCTCCCAAAACAAAATTACTCCAGCAATATAAAGTAGACCGTATAGTGTAGAGAAACAATGAATTATTAGCTACAATGAATCTTGTGCTTCCTCGTTGCTGCACCAAGTCTGGCTTTTGAGTGGACCCTCTTTTCTGTTTCTCATGCGCTGCTTTTTGCCATCTTCAGCTTTACTCTCTGATGGCCAAGAATTACAGACATCATTCTGTGGAGGTGATGCTTTCATTTCTGCTGCCGGTGCCTCTGAGTCTTCTTGAGTCACCTTCATGGCTGGAGAGATGCCTGTAAGAGAAATTCTAATTCCGTAAATTGATTTATTTAAGCATTTTAATTATTACTGGATAATTGTGAACAAAGTCTGGGAAAAAGACGACCCTTTAGTCGACAATCTCTCTTCCCTTTCTCTTCGCCAGAATGTTGCTTCACTCTCTTTATCTTTTACGGGTACTTTAACGGGCAATGTTCAGTGGATTTGGCATCCTGTGTGAACAAAGTCTGGGAAAAAGATGACCCTTTAGTTGACAATCTCTCTTCCCTTTCTCTTCGCCGCAATGTTGCTTCACTCTCTCTCTTTTACAGGTACTTTAACGGGCAATGTTCGGTGGATTTGGCATCCTGTGTACCGCCGGCAAGGTCGTAGGCTCGTAACACACGTCTTGCCCGTGGTGCCCACCATTTCTCTGTGGATATCGGTCACACGAGAATAACCCGTTATAGTACCTCCTTTCCTCACACAGCCAAACTGTGGAATGCTCTGCCTTCTGTGTTTCCATACTTATACAATCTGTCTCACTTTAAAAAGCTGGTTATCCGGCATTTTCGTGGTGTAGATTAACACAGTATAACCTTTTTCTTCTCTGTTTTCAATTTTTTGTTCTTTATTTTTCACCCCCCAGGCCCCGTTGTGGGTGGTTTCACCTGTGCCCGGTATAGTATGATTACCTGTTTGGGGAGGAAGCCATTTTTTAAGCATACTATCTTCGTCTACTTCCCCGATAGTGACCTCAGAGTTGACCTGGGCCTCTAGGCTGGCTTCAATGATTTCTAGTGGAATGTCATATTGCTGGTCCAGGCAGGTAGCTGTGAGACATCACATACACTGTCAACAGTGCATTTCCTGAAATAATTATATAAATCTAAAAATGACATTAAAGTTATTAAAGTATTTCATTAAAATTCATGTAAAAAATTTGAACAATATCAATAACCCTACAGTAGATGTTCTGGGTAAAAATTCATTTACCACAATTCAAAAGTGACTCACCATAATCTGAAAATATTGCTAACATGTGGTAGTTAAAATAGCAAACAAAATATTATCATATGAAATGTGATCTTCCAGTGTACAGCTGTGTCACATCCTAGGTGAAGGTCACGTTCTGAAGAGGGCACGTAAAGGCAAAAACACGTATAGTCTTATTGCCCTTGAAAATCCCTTAAATCTCCCATAAAGTAGTACACTGTTATATATAACTGTGCTGCAATGTGGTTTAGAAATAAAGAAAATATAATAAAACTATATATACAGTAGACACGCAACTTACAACTTACGCAAGGGTTACATTCCTGGGACCTCGCATAAAGTCAGAAACACTCCTAAGAAGGTTGGGTCAGCTTACCCAGCCGCCATACTCTCCGGATTTGGCCCTACGGACCTTTTTTTTTTTCCAAAAAATGAAATCCACCCTGCAAGGTCGTCGATTTCAGGCGATAGAAGAAAATTCGCTATGAAACCTGCGCACCATCCCTCAAAATGCATTCCAGGACACGTTCCGGAAATGGAAAAAACGTTGGGAGCGGTGTATCAACAGTGGAGGGGAGTACTTTGAAGGAGACAAGTCTGATTAAGTTGTAAGTAAAGCAATAAATTTGTTTTTTAAAAAGTTTGGTTTCTTTTTGGACAGACCAGATATATATATATATATATATATATATATATATATATATATATATATATATATATATATATATATATATATATATATATATATATATATATATATATATATATATATATATATATATATATATATATATATATATATATATATATATATATATATATATATATATATATATATACATGGGTATGTGTGTGTTGGGGTGGGGGAAGGGAGGGTGGAGGGAAGAGGAGGGGTGGGGGGAAGAAGGGGTGGGGGCAGATGAGTAGAGGAGAGAACCAGGTAGGAAAGTCATAGGGGGAGGAGATGAAGAAAAATGGGAAGAAACAATGTGGAGGGCATCGGAAGAGGGAGTTGGGAGTGATGGGGGAGAATAGGGGGGGAAACAGAGGAAAGAGGGGGAGGGAAGGAGGGAAGATGGAGAAGGGGGGGAGATATATGCGAGTGAGAAAGAGGTAGACAGGAGGGATGAAAAGTGGAGGAGGAGGAGGAAGACGAAGGGAGGCAGTGGGAGTGGAGGGGGCAGAGGAGGAAATGGGGAGATAGTGAGTATGGAGGAGGAAAGAGAAGAGTAGATGGAGGGGTAGGGGGACAATGATGAAGAGGATGATTATATTGATGGGGATGGGAAGAGAGTGGGTGTCCCAGGAACCTAACCCTCACGAATGTTGAGGTACTGGTGTATTGCAACCCAAACATTGACACAATGTACTGCATTTCTTTACCTCTGTAATCTTTTTCCTTTATAAGGGTGAATACACTGGCCTTCTTTCTCTTAAAACTGACTGTAGATCAGATAATACTGTACTGGATAGGTTGGTGTTAGCAAAAATAATAAATTCAACTGAACAAATAAAATATATCAATGAAAACCTTTAATTTACATTTCTTCCTATGATGAAGGTCATACAACATCTGAATAAGTATATCAAAATACATTAGTTCACTACCTAGGGTGTCAGGTGTCCTGAAAGACAGCACATGTGTGGCTCGATCACGTACAGGTGGGACCCTCTTGAGTGCCAGCAGCTCTCCAGATGTTGCTTCACCTAACACCAGAAACCAACCTTCGTCCTTTACTTTCGGGAACTTGGGGGCGTGGACACGAAGGTCTCTGCTCTATAGGAAGTAATGCTGTATGTAAGTTATGCTAATAGGTTCATCAGGTGTTAATGTACAACTTATCAACATGAAAATTATCCAAATACATAAATAGGTGAAATGTACCCAGTACATTGGATATTATCATAAGACAGAAAAAATGTGAATACAGGGGGCCCGCAAAATTTGCAAAGGTTAGGTTCTCAAAATGGCTGCGAGTTGCCAAATTCGCTTATAACATTTGTGGATGGGGGGTTACATTTTTACTTGTGCACAAAGAAATGTATGTTCGCTTTATGTGTTTGCCCTTAGGACAATTATTTCTTTTTACCTGTATTATGTGTGTGTGTGTGTGTGTGTGTGTGTGTGTGTAGACACACACACTCAAAACACATACAAATCAATAATAATGGGAAAATACTCTCACAAATAATCAGGAACAAATTTATTCAAAATGTGACAGTCTACTGTACTGCGCACATCATTGTCATTCCTAAAAACCCATTTTAATTCATATTATGCTACATAACATTCAAATCCACCGCGCTTGTAGAATCTCAGGAGAGACGTGTTTTTCCCATTTGTTTTACCCTCAGGATCACTCCCAGCAAGTCCCGCCTTCGAACACAGTTGTCACTACGTTTATTGCACTCTCTACTGGCAAACGCAACCTTGAATTAGTCTGTGTAAATCAACTTTAGTAATTCGCCAGACCTTAGTCAACTGAAGGTCATCCTTGAATGAATAACAGTTAGATTGTTTGTAATTTCTGTCATTGCGTGAGTAGCGATCGCTGGCAACTCAGGGGTATATAAACCAGTGCGAGGCGGGAGGAATAAACCTCCAGTATCATCTTTCACCTTCGTTCCCAGGTATGTTCTGAGTTTATAAGCATTCAGTTTGATTCAGTCTATTGTAGTGAATATCAGTGTTCATCAGTGTTCATGCTTTAACAGTGGAATTGTCATTCACCCAGTGTAAGAAGTAATATAACGTAAATTATCTGACGTGGCGAGACTGAAGATTTGTTTGTGACCCACCATGCTTACCCAAAAAACCTCCCGTATCATCTTTCACCTTCGTTCCCAGATCGAGGGTGGGCTTAATTGAAACCCACCGGTCGCTTGGAGCCGGTGGATACCCAGCAGTGGTCAATATAGGAGTGATGGTGCTGATTCGGCATGATTTATCAGCTCCACTCTACCTCGTGGGCCGAGGACCCCAGACCCGCCTCGTGTCAGAGTGTAACCGACCACAACAGTAGTTGTTAGAGGCGCCAGTGCTGTACCCTGGGACAGGCCTTGGAGTTATGGTCCACAGTGTGGTTGTATGTGTTTGTTAATAATTACCCCATGTTGGGTGGTGGACCCATGTCGGTGTTTGTATCAGTATTAGTGTATTGTGAGTAAGGACAAGGAACTGATCCTGCTATGTATTGTAATGTGACACCAGTAAGAGGGTGCACGGTAAGAGTGTAATATCTGAGTAATTGCTGTTGAGTAAATAAGAAAATAAGTAAATAAGAAATACGGAGTCTGCAATAAGCCCAGGAGTTGAGCCTGGTAGTTTGGTTTTATAGTAATAAACTTGTTCTTCAAGTATTTTAGGAGTATTCATTTCTCCCACAGTAGTTACCTATATTTCCGTCCAAGTGACCATGATATCAGAATTACACTACCCATGTGCCTAGACCACCGACATGCTACCAACAAGAATTGAGGTTAGGTAGTATCAAAAATGAACTGAAGTAAGTAGAAGGAACATTTGAAAGAACTAAGACATGTTGTGGTTTCACCCTTCTTTCCCTTTATCGATCTGGTCAATGAAAAACCTAACCCAATGCCTAGTCCACTCTGCACGCTACCTAACGAGTTGCATGCTGTCCAGAGGGGGTCTGGTGGCAGCGACCCTTAGAAATTAAGATTAGAGTTAAGTATTCCCCCTTAGAATTAGTGACCCCCAGTCTGGCAGTATACTACCCTCAAGTCCGTGCTTTATTAATAAAGTAATAATGCAAGGACTTGAGGATAGATTGTCACATTTTTAATAAATTTGTTTCTGATTATTTGTGAGAGGATTTTCCAATTATTTTTAATTTTTATGTGTTTTGTGTGTTTGTGTCTACACACACACACACACAAATATTTACAATACAGGTAAAGGAAATTACTGTCTCTAGAATGCATGGATCTGTCCCAGCCACAAAAATGCTAGCAACTTTAAAACTACCCACAGACCTAGAGGACCGTGAAATAAAAATCCGCGAACTTAGGGGGGGGCCCCCCTGTATTAACTAAAGCTGCTTGTCTCTAGACTGAGATCAGCTTAGATGGAATTAAGTTTGAATAAACCCAGTAAATTAATAATATAAAGTTGAAAATGGGTGAATGAATGTTGTTTATGTAAATAATGGAATAAAGAATTGCAAGTTACCAGTTAGATATGCATCTAGAAATCACAGAATGATTTTGATTATTTTCATGGACTATATTGTGTACCAAAGCATCAAAAGGTGAGGTTCTGTACAAGAGCAGATGAATAATGTGTTGTTATCAAAGAAATTTCCCATATGCTTCTACTGGTATTACTACATCACATCAATAATTAACAACTGAAACAATTGGGAAGATATGCAAAAAAATCCAACAGTGGATAACATTTTAAAACTGACAGTTAGCTTTTGAATTGTAATACAGTATCACTTTTACTCGCCCTGTTAGCTCGGTGAAGGTTGACAGCCAGAGAATAATCCTGATCTGCGTGAACTTGAATCCAGTCACTGGCTTTTCGGTTTTCCTCTGTAAAGTGAACATAATACTTCTTTGTAACATAAAACTGTATTTACATTATATTTCATAGTCATTCAGAATACTTTATATCTTCAAAAACTACTAATATCCATGTTTGTTATATTATTCATCCCATGATTTACTCACGTATGTTATTTCTACTGCTTCTAATCTGCTTTCAACTCCTTCCTACATAGTCCAAACTCCATAACAATACAGTATACAGTAAAGCCTCGAATAATAAAGTTAATGTGTCTTCCAATATTACAGTGTAAGGTGAATCGTCTTATCGAGAATCATTAATTACCATTAAAATAAAGCAATAATGATGAGATGCGTTCCCCAGTGTGACCTTTTCATAACTTTTGTGTGGCTTTTTACCCTCTTTTCCCCCCAAACAATATAATTAATGAAAAATGCAAACTATAATCTTTAAATAATGTTTATGAATGCACCTTATACAATATAAATCAATATTAATATCACACTAGAGGAGATGCAACGCTATTGTTGTTGTCAGTGTTTACACCCGTGATGACAGTTCTCCATCTGAAACTGAAGAAAATAAGACCCTGGTTGTTGCTGGAGTAAAATTAATGTAAAAGAAATATGTATGTATTAATTAATGTTATTTAATGTACAGTAAAAGTAACCACTGATGTTAAAGAAAATAAGGGAGTGATTGTGGAATGCCAATGTATACTTGCGCACTCAAGGAAACCACTGAATATGTATTTGATTGAATTAATGCTTATATGCGAAATGAACAATGCAATTCATTAATAATACGTAGGATATTAAAACACACAAGAGGAGACGAGACAGCATTGTTTTTGTTCATGTTTACAACACCCGTGAGTCCATGACGATGGTTTGACCTAAGAAACTTAAGAAAATAAGACCCTGGTTGTAGCTGTAGTAAAATTAATGTAAAAAAATGAATATGTATGTTTTAAGTAATGTTATTTAATGTTAATAAGTGGAACAATAGAAGTAGCTAACCATTAATGGTAGAGAAAAAACAAAATAGATTGGGAACACCATAGTACAGTATATAAGTGCATACATGTGAAAACATCATCATTTCTCAACATAAGAATAAGAAAGCAACACTTATTTCTGTTCATATATGTTTTAAATAATACTTACTAATGTAAAACAAAACTTCTACTCACAAAATGGTGGTAAAGTCTAAAACACAAGGACAGCCAATGAATATTGCGTGAGTTTTTACTCAGATGACGAAGTCATCAGGTTCATCTCTGGCTGAGACCGAAGCTTTCCATAAAAATATCATAGCTGCTGCTGAAACTGTTACCGAACCTGAAGTTGTTGTTGAAGCTGCTTATGATGCTGAATTTGATGGTGTAGCTGAAGTTGATGGTTTAGGCCTTTGAATAATAAAGCTGTCAAAAGAACCTTGCACAGCCGCTTTCTTTTCTCATTATACATCTTTATGTAGAGGTCATATGCATTTTTCATGTCCTTATTATTTTTAATGCTTTGCACTGTTAATGGATCCACTTCAGAAAATATGTTTATTGCTTGCTCCATATATTATCCAAAGACCTCTCACCTTTTTCATATTGTTTTAACACATATAGTTTCTTTTAGCTTTTGAACCAGCACTACTATCACTTGCTCATGTCGAATAGGGACACAAAAAATGCCGTAAGAAACCTGAGAATTTTTTTCTCCTTTCTCTGTTCAGATGCGTGAAAACAAAGGGCCCGCCAAGCCGTGACTTTTTATGCTGGCGTCACCACTAACAAGCCTGGCAGCCTCCGTGCGCAAGGCTTTTATTTTTTAGTTTTTTTTTAATACAAATCGAGGATTAGTTATTATTTATATGAAAATGTAATTTTACTTTATTTTTTATAATATTTTTGTCGTAAATACAAAGAAAATAACGGTGTAAATTGAATTGGGTCCCATATTAACCTGGGTCTTAAATATGAATCATCGTGAGTAGAGGCTTTCCTGTATTACTTTCTTTGTTTCTTAAACTCTTGTTATTCATCACTCTGTTCCATTTGCCTCTACTGTATATAAACTGTTCCATTTGCCTCTAGATAAACTGTTCCATTTGTCTCAAGAAAACTGTTCCATTTGCCTCTAGATAAACTGTTCCATTTGCCTCTAGATAAACTGTTCCATTTGCCTCTAGATAAACTGTTCCATTTGCCTCTAGATAAACTGTTCCATTTGCCTCTAGATAAACTGTTCCATTTGCCTCTAGATAAACTGTTCCATTTGTCTCTAGATAAACTGTTCCATTTGCCTCTAGATAAACTGTTCCATTTGCCTCTAGATAAACTGTTCCACTTGCCTCTAGATAAACTGTTCCATTTGTCTCTAGAAAACTGTTCCATTTGTCTCTAGATAAACTGTTCCATTTGTCTCTAGATAAACTGTTCCATTTGCCTCTAGATAAACTGTTCCATTTGCCTCTAGATAAACTGTTCCATTTGCCTCTAGATAAACTGTTCCAGATAAACTGTTCCATTTGCCTCTAGATAAACTGTTCCATTTGCCTCTAGATAAACTGTTCCATTTGCCTCTAGATAAACTGTTCCATTTGCCTCTAGATAAACTGTTCCATTTGCCTCTAGATAAACTGTTCTATTTGTCTCTAGATAAACTGTTCCACTTGCCTCTAGATAAACTGTTCCACTTGCCTCTAGATAAACTGTTCCACTTGCCTCTAGATAAACTGTTCCATTTGTCTCTAGATAAACTGTTCTATTTGTCTCTAGATAAACTGTTCCATTTGCCTCTAGATAAACTGTTCCATTTGCCTCTAGATAAACTGTTCCATTTGCCTCTAGATAAACTGTTCCATTTGCCTCTAGATAAACTGTTCCATTTGCCTCTAGATAAACTGGTCCAATTGCCTCTAGATAAACTGTTCCATTTGTCTCTAGATAAACTGTTCCATTTGCCTCTAGATAAACTGTTCCATTTGTCTCTAGATAAACTGTTCCATTTGTCTCTAGATAAACTGTTCCATTTGTCTCTAGATAAACTGTTCCAATTGCCTCTAGATAAACTGACATTAAGAACATTCAGTTCTATAATAATATAAGGTACATCATCTTACCTGTGGTCCTTCTGTTGACTCTAACTTCCTTATGATTATTAGTGTTGGCCCACCATCCTCTCACTGCTGTAATAACATTAAGGACTGGCAGCTGTTGAAGAGTCTTGAATACATTTTCAATTTGTCCTTCATCCAGCTCCTGACGTAACATCTTGGCCAGCTTCTCGTACTTCCCACCAATAATTTGTACAAGCTCGGGCAGGCACTGGATATTGTTGCCTACATTTCTGAGGAGGAAAATAATTTCAATAAATAATAATTGTTAAAGTGTTGTGTTTAAACAGCTTGATCCAACATTGATTTAACTTGTGGTGATGTCCACATTTATTATTCAGGTATTATCCTACATTAAACTACTGTACATCTTTCAGTTCAGAATTTTAAATGTTTTTAGACCTAAGTGTGTGGATATAATACAGAAAGTAAAAAGGTGATGAAAAAGATGGACGCTGAAAGGAAGACAGAGAAAATCTAGAGTAAAGTTAGTGATGAATGGTGGAAGGAAGACCAAGTATGAAGTAATAGTAAAGACTGATGGAATGTGTCAATGATACCAACTGTATAGAGGTGTGTTTGGACATGGATAAATGTACACAGGTATTGCTTGGATGAGATAAGGTATAACAAATAGTATAAAATATGTTGACTTGTAACTTGTAACTATATCTACTTAAGGATATCATGATATATTACTCAACTTACTTAAAGCAGTAGAGTGAATCAGAGTTGACGTGTGGGAGAGTAAGAAGAGAATTGTCAGTGTGCCAGCGAGCCTGAGTTACCATCTGCATCAACACCTGCACCTGTAGAGCCGCTGCCAGCCATCCTGCACACCCACATATGTCCAACATGGCCTAAAAAATTACAATAGTTACATCTAGGCCATGACAAGATTCCAATCGACAGATTGTTTTAATATTTGGATAATAACTACTTGCACATCTACATCTGGGTTTTATGAATCTTACTACTTAATCTCATTTCAATCATGTTCTTCTTATCACATCTTTTTCTTTATATTTTTCAATAAACTTTTAATCCAATACTGTATCCTTTCACAGAGGTACAGTCCCGTCAGCAATCCGTCTCATCCATGAGCCCAGAGACTCATGATCTTGTGTATCAAAGACATCACACAGTGTGCCATTTATGGGCCCAACAATGCATGATGTCTCAGATTCATAGGTTTATGAATCTTGGTTCATTGATGGGATGGAGGAGCGACAGGACTTTTCTCTGACTGTACAATAACCATGTAGCAAAAAAGTGCATGTATGTTCATTGCCTGCCTGTCTCTTTTTCTGTTTATTATCAAATGAAGGAAGTGAGAGGATTGTTAACAGGAATGAAAATGACTTAAACAGAATTAAAAAAATATATTGCAGGGCTGAAAGAAGGCTGTGAGTTATAACTAGGAAATCATAAGTTGTAAATTTATGACATCTGATTTTCATATTTTGTAATACTGTACACTGCACAGGTACTACAGTTGGGTCTCCATTTACACAGTCAATTCAACCCCCAGAGTACCGCGTAAAACGAGAAACGCGTAAATAGAATAACAGAACATATGGGATTAATTGAAATAGAGACTGGGCCGACTCCCAAACTCCACTTTTTCAGACACAATACCTACGTTGTAGTAAAAATAACATCTTAATTTTATGATGGTATGCACACACAATTAATAATTAAGAGAAATATCAAGAATATTAGGTTTTTTAGCACTTACATTAGTAGAAAAGATGGCTGGGTATATGAGGATGGGGGGTTGGTTCGAGGCAGAGGGCAGATTATTGGCCCCTCACCTGTATCACTTGTATCACTAATCACTATCCACCAGGACCACCACAGAGGCTTGCAGGGCCTCTTTGTCAAACCCCTCCAAGTCCACATAAGACCATATCCTCACTATCACTGACTTGGGCCGGCTGTGGTGGGTGGTGGGTGAAGAACTCGGTAATGTTTTGATGACTGGGCGACCTTGTGCGCACCCTGCCCGTGCTGCTTCCCGCATAAATGAGCAAATTCACCGCTTAAATCAAGCATCCCGGTTCTGGCAAGGCACCGCGTAAACGAAACCCGCGTAAATGACCAAACGCGTAAACGAAACCCACGTAAATCGAGACCCAACTGTATAAAAAAATCAACAACAAAATAAGTCACCTGTAAGATTCGTATAGCTTGGTCAAGAACAGACTTGGTATCAGTGAGGTAGTCCACACATGGCAGTTGAAGGCGGGACATGTGAGCCTGCAGTAGTAGGTGGGCCTTGGTGTGTGATGAGTCATATGTGTAAGCATTCACCTCAATGGGACAACACTTGGCTAAATCCCCATTCAGATTATCTTCATTATGACGAACTGGCAACTCATCATACTCGTGAGCCTAGATAATAATAATAATAATAATAATAATAATAATAATAATAATAATAATTTATCATGACTGTAAATATGCAAACAATGTCTCTTATTATAAAAGGAGATGCAATACACAACTATAGTTTTTTTTTCAATTTCAAAGCTTTCCTGGTACAGTGTCCATCAAAGCCTTTTTGTGCTAATCAGAAAAATTCATACCACACAGACGAAGGTAAATTTTACCTGTGTGAGGAGGTCTAAGAGATCTTCCATGTTCACTGTAGGGCTGAGTTTGTTCTGGAACAGCTGTATTGTCTGGTGAGACAAGTAGTAAAACGAGGCAATGCGGCCCAAGGGTGTTGTCTGGACAGTTCGATTATCCTGAAACGAGTAATTGTTCTCTTTATTACCTTTAATCCTCTTGTGAGGGGGAAGATAAAGAGGAACAGAAAGTTAAAGGGAGGAGATAACTGAGAATGATACAAGACAAGTGTATGAAGCGACAGGAATGTACCAGGACAATAAGTAGAAACATCCCAACATACAGTACTACTGTACTGTAAGTCCTCAAATGAACCAATTTACCTTTTAATCTTACTGAGAGGAAGGAACACAAGTAATCAAACGTCACAATAAACTACAATATTCAAAGATTAATAAAAAAGGCTGCCCCTGTTATCTTCACCCATGACCTCCAGATGACGCCTTTAAAAGAAATATTTTTGATCAGATATGTGCCACTTGAGACTCAAACCTAACACTGCACAATGTGTTCCAGTTAGCCTAACTCAATACTATATGTTCCCCCCAAATCATACAAGCTAATTTAGTTTTTCACTGACGTTTCTCTAATTTCAGCATATCAGACTTTTGTAATATCACAGAATTTATCTAAAATATCAGATGACTCAGGATGGTAAGAAATACTCACAGCACCAATTTCAATACAGTAAGCACTTTCAAGGCAGTTTAAGGCTCGATCTATAGTGGAGGACAAGAATGCATTGATGGCCCCTTCTGGCTTTGCTTCGTTGTCCAACTCCAGCCCATAGTACGAGGGATTCTGAAATGTTTCTTACATCAACAAAAAGAACCTGTGACTTGAAAGAAGTAACCGACCATATACAAAACTATAGTTTTATAATTCTTCATCAAAGTGACTAATAACTGGTTAAGTTAAGTTAACTGAGGCATATTATGATTAGAGGCCATTTGACTTGCCACAAATGGTTGAAGAATTCTTGATGATAGTTTGGTTGAGAAAATAAGTGAAGAATTCATTCACTACTTGTCTGTACTATGAAATATAACATCAAACTTGAAGAGAATAAAACCCATAATAAGAGTTAAAGACAAACAACAAACCAACTTCATACAAATAACTGATGTGGAGTCCAAACTAAGTATGAAAAATCAGCATCTGGTGTACTAATTTATTAGGTAGGGTCTCAGTTCAACCTGGATATAGGTACAGTATTTGGGTGGAGCATAAATTACACTTTATTGTTTACATAGTAACAATACCGTTCACAGTATAACTTATATATCTTACCTGGACCAGCCTCCTGAAGAAGTAAGTCCATGTAAGGTAGTCCAGTGCTTCTTGTTTAGAGTTGATGGTACCAGCTACAATCTCAGCATTAATGTGATCTGGCATGACGCCCATTAAACTGTAAATATGGAAGCACCATGAATGTATTACTGATAAAATTAGGTCATAAAATGTTTTACCCGGTACTGATAAAGTTAGGTAATAAAATGTGTTACTGATAAAGTTACACAACAATTGGTGCAGAGTACTTCCAGGAATGAGAGATTTCCGAGTAACGAGACCACTCTCTCAAAGACTGAAAAATCCCACCCCTGAATTTTCCGGGTAACGTAAAAATGTTCTCGGATGTACCAGAAATTGCACATTACACCATCTCTCGAACCCGGAAAAATATCCATCCCCATAATTTTCCGGGTACTGGAAAATTTATCTCGGAATTTACGGAAAATGCACCTAATTTTCATCTCTCAAACCCAGAAAAAACTCCCCCATCCTCGGAATTTTTTGGAAATTTCTGGGAACTGGGAAAACTTTCTCAAACTTTTCCAGAAAATATGCCACCTTGGAAAACCATCCCCAAAGCCGGAATTTTCCAGAAAATTCCGGATATAGGAACAGTTTTCTGAGAAAATTTTAATTCCTGCTATCGGAGATTTCTGAGTTTAACGGATTCCGGCTAACGGAGATACTACTGTGACTTTACCTGGATTCTACAGGAAAAGGTTCATACAAGAACTTTTTGTAGAAGTGTTTCTTTTGATCGTGGACAAGAATGACTGCTACCCCTTGGTCATCAAACTGAGGTCGTCCAGCTCGACCCATCATCTGCAGCACATCTGAAGAGAAACCGCCCGAGAATCCTGCATTTATACAAATACCTACAGTATTTGAAGTACAGGTACTCCCCGACTTATGACGGGGTTAGGGACCCAAATCCAGGTCGTAAGTCCAAATGGTCGTAAGTCCGACATAGATAAAAAAATTAAATAAATAAAAAAAAAAAATAAATTAATAAATAAAAAATAATTGTTTAAAAAAAAATAAAAAATAATTGTTTAAAAAAAAATAAAAAATCTACAATGAAATACAGTACCCTAAAAGTAATAAATAATGAGGAATGGATACAGTGTGACTGAGCGCTTACCCCTTTAATGTAGTCAGCTGAATGCACATGGGGCCCCCATAATTTTCTTATTATACATGGAGACTACATTAACTGGAAACGTTTCGGTATAGAAAATGCGCGCGTCATTTGAAAAAAAAATAAAAATTTTGTTCACGACTGAGGCGGTTGTATGTCCCGACGGTCATAAGGTCAGAGCAGGTCGTAAGTACCGATGGACGTAAGTTGAGGCAGTTGTAAGTCGGGGACTACCTGTACTATATTCAAGAGTCATGCATCTTGTCACTTACAAGATATTAAATTGTTGACACCAATGTTAAACACAAGCTACGATGTAATAATTGTCATATTCAACCCCTGTATTAGTAGTATTGAACTGTAGTCATAAAATGTGTCAGGTTTGAGGTGAATGGAGGTTGTATCACACATCCATGAGAGTGAAGGAAGACTTAAGTCACTTATCGGATAAAATGCACTGATGTAAACATTTTGTATTACAGTCGGCCCTTAACATACGCGGGTTTAACATACACGGATTTGCAAATACGCGGATTACCGCCAGAGGAATATACATTCAAATCACACGCGACACCACACCACACACACACACATCGCCCGCCACGCCACCCTGCGTTCCCTCGCTCCCTCAGTCAGTCAGTCTCGTTGTAACCACACTTGTGTTGACATCAGCATTGTAGTTGCAAAAATATTACATTTCCGTGAATGTATTATATCAAGCACAGTATGAATAGAATATCACTAATATAACAGTATTTTAACCGAAAACTATTAAAAAAACGAGTAACATATCTTGAACATCAGAGGGTTAGGTAAAGTCTTTTCTTTTCATGTAGTTTATCCTAATTTACATTGAAATACATTACGTTTCAGCAAAACTACTATTTATTTCTGAGAATATGGAAATGTAATATTTTTGCTGAAATGATGTACGTATTACAGTGGAAAGTGGGATAAAATCGTGACGAAAGCAATGACTTTCGCTTTCTTTCGTTCAAAGGATGTTACCGTAATCGCTTTCGAGTGGTTTTCAGTTAAAAAACTGTTGTATTGCAATAATATTCTATCCTAATTCACTTGTGATGCAACAGTTTTTTAACTGAAAAAGATTCGAAAAACATGTGTACTATCTAGCTGATACGGCAGAGCCCTGGTCGCCTTGGTCGCAATCAGAAAAGAAATTGTGGTGAAATCTTTTAAGAAATGTGGGATTTCAAATACTCTTGATGGAACAGAAGACGACTTGTTGTGGGATTATGAGGCTAATGAGAGCGTGAATGAGGATGAAGATATTGATGATCCTATGGCTGATGGTGTTGATCCATATGACGATGCTGTTCAAGGAGAGGACTGGGAGGAGATGTTTGGTGCTGATGACAAGGAAAATGATTTTGATGGATTTTAATGAAAATATTCAGAAATATGGTATCGTAGTATTTATTCAAGTGAATTAGGATAGAATATTATTGTAATACAACAGTTTTTTAACTGAAAACCATTCAAAAAGCGATTACGGTAAAATCTTTTGAACAATGAAAGAAAGCGAAAGTCATTGTTTTCGTCATGATTTTATCCCACTTTCCACTGTAATACGTCCGTCATTTCAGCAAAAATATTACATTTCCATATTTATTTCTGAGAATATATTCATTCAGTCACAGTAAAGGTAAAATACACTTGTGATGTAATATTTTAATGAAAATACCCGGTATTTAGAAACACGGTATCGTAGTTTTCTTTTGTTTCAAATTTAATTAACAAAGATTGATGTTTCAAAACTAATGAAAAAAAATTTATGTATCTATAAATAAACTTTAAAAAATTAATACTTTATGTTTCACATCGTCCTGTGCTACCATACCATGCATTTGGCTACTTTGGGCGTGCTATGATGACGCAAGAGATCTGCCCTGGCAACTGTACCGACACTCACAGATGGTGGTGCGTCGTGTAGTGGACGTCCACTACAGTCGTTTCCATTGTTTACTGGTAAATATTTTTCAACCTAACAAAACTATTACCCATTTAGAGGTCGACCCCCGATTTTTTGCCAAAAAATTTGGTCTTAAAACCTCGAACTACCCACATGTATATACGGTAAATAAGGACATGGGGGGCCAGGGGTGTTTTTTTTTTGGGGGGGGGGGCAGCAAAAATACGCGGATTTTTAACATTCACGGGTATCTCTGTTACCTAACCCCCGCGTATGTTAAGGGCCGACTGTACATGGTTACAATTCATATCAGTGTTACAGATATAATATTAAAAGTACTGTATATAAATATTGTATAATGAGAAGCTTAAAAAGCTCTAAACAATGTGTCAAATACATTCCTTACCAGTAATTGGGAAATCCACATATCTCTTCGTCTTGCCATCAAAATACTCTGTTCCCTTAACCACCACCAGGTGGGCAGGGAAATTAACACCCCAAGCAAGAGTGGCAGTTGTGATGAGAATCTAGTGGAACAGTAATACAAAATACAGTATTAATGATGATAATAAGGTAAAGTGGTCAAGACTGATAGTAGTGATAATCAAGATACCTGTATGAACATAATGTAAAGGCTTTCACCAATAGGTCTGACAAAAAACAGTGCTCCTATCATCATTGTCTTGTCAACAATGGTAAAATTCGGTTTTCACCTTCAAACTTTATAAGCTCTAAATGTTGAAAATCAACACATAATTGGCCTAATGTGGCCATCTTGTTTTATGATGAACTTGAGTGTTGCTGACCTCCACCAGCCAGGTCCACCCACATCATAGATTTAGTACTTCATCAGTTCTGTGGCTCATTTTGATGGAAATGCCAATAAAAACTAAGATGTCTGCCTTGCTGCACTATTTTCAAGATCAATGACATAACTTGAGCCAATCTTAACACAAACAAATATTAAGTACATAAATTAAAAAAGTAAATTATAAATAGGTTTCTGTAAACTACAGATGACTCCTTGGCTGCCAAAGGCTAAAGAAATTATGCAGATTAGAGGGACACCTACTAATTTCACCTTAGGAAGACATACCTGGAGATCATGGGGCCTCAGAGTATGTATAGCTGTTCTGGGTTATGTTCATTTACAAGAAACAAAGTGAACATTTAAGAGTTAACTGATAGAGGGGAGGAAAGATGAACAGAGGATCTTCACATGAGTTTATTAACCCCTTCACTATGGGTACTCTATTACTTGGCTAACACAGGACGTGTTAGCAACATGGAGACAGACAGACATAAATAAACTAAATAAAATACATCTCACCTGTATTTTCTGGTTAGTAAACAGCTCCTCTACCACCCTCCTGTCTTTCTCCACCAGGCCAGCATGGTGGAGACCAATACCAAATGACAGACACAGACGCAGGTTCTCATCACGTATGTTGCTCAGAATCTGCTCCATCTGAGGAATGAAAAGTATCATTTTATTTCTATAATCCTTCAATCTGTCTGAGAATCATTATTCAGTTTCACTTTTTTTATGGTAAAGTCAGTACAAAATAGAAAAACAAGTTACCAGTGAGCAAATGAGACATTACTTGGTAGCACAGTACAGGTACAGTACAAATGTTGTAGTACTGTGCTATATGTTAAAGAGGTGTTGGAACAGACAATGAACCACAACATTTGACAAAATAAGCAGTTGTTGTTAGTATCAGTAAGCTGGCCTAAACTACTAAAAACGACTGATTTAAAAACAAGGGCTTTTAAGTTTTAAAAAATACTGTATAATGAGATTAGAGAAACTGTATCTACAAAATATGTCCTGTAACCATAGTATTAAAAACACTGCTAGATAACAGACCTCGTGCTCAGGCATCTTGAGCCACTGTTTAGGGTTTTGTTCAACCACAACAAGACCCATAAGATCTAATGCAGTTAATCTGGTCTGCCTGCGAGATGACACAAACACTAACACTGGCTTCTCAGGGGAGTGTTGTCTGATGGCTGGAACAAGAAAACATACTTCCTGATACACAACATAACTACCAACATCATTATCCATCCCACATTTATCCGCACCATTTTTCAAGATCAATAAAAGAAAGGTTTAGTGGAAATTTGGGGGGTAAGGTCACAGGTCATTACTAAACCAAACTTAAAATTAACTGGGTCAAAGAGTCCAGCCTAGCAGCTCTTCATCCTCACCATTACACCAATACTGTACTATAAATCTTCTGAGATATTTTATAAAATAAAAATAATTGTAGCTGATAAATCACCCTCCTCTATAAATAAAATAAAAATCAATACATACTGTACTGTATATTTTCAATTCTCTACAAGAATGTATTATGTGTTTCTAAAATAGAGAAGCTGCAGAGGTGAAGGAGACTGGGAATGGAAACACCAAGTAAGAGCTGAGATTTATTGTGTTGCATGTGTTTGGCACTATCAATCATGGTTACATATCTATTTGTAGTTTTACACCAGGAGCTCACTGAATCCTGGCTGCCTCCATCGGTTATTTGCAGAATTACCGTATTTTATGGCATATAAGATGCACCATCCCATTTCAGCAGGGATTATTTAGGAAAAAACTTTTGTGTGTATTTTCCTCCTGTAGCCATAGTTTTCTTAAAATAATATACAGTTAACCCTCACTTTACGCGGTTAATGTAACCCGGAGGGTCCCGCGTAAAGTGAGAAATGCGTAAAGTGAATAACATAACATATGGGATTAATTGAAATGGAGTCCGGGCCGATCCCCAAACTCCACTTTTTGACGACACACAACTATGTTGTAGTAAAAATATTATCTTAACTTTATGATGGTATGCACACACAATTAATAATTAAGAGAAATATCAATAATATTAGGTTTTTTAACACTTACATTAGTAGAAAAAATGGCTGGGCACACGGGGATGGGCGGTTGGTTCCGAGGCAGAGGGCAGATTATTGGCCCTCACCTGTGTCACTTGTATCAATTGTATCACTATCCACCACAGAGGCTTGCAGGGCCTCTTTGTCAAACTCCCCAAAGTCCATATAAGTCCATATCCTCACCATAATTATCACTATCACTGACTTGGGCCGGCTGTGGTGGGTGGCGGGTGAAGAACTGGTAATGTTTTGATGACTGGGCGACCTTGTGCGCACCATGTTCGCGCAGCTTACACAACATGGCGGATGGCGGGAGGTTTGGATCCAAAAATGGCGCGGCTCGCCAGCCGCTCTCCGCGTAAAGGGGTACACGCACCGCGGAATGTGAGCATCCTGGGTTCCGGCAGGGCACCGCGTAAACGTGGAAACGCGGAATGTGGGACCGCGTAAAGTGAGGGTTAACTGTACACAGTAACAGTAAATGTTATAAAAATATAAAAATAATACCAATAAGTAAGTTACAACAAAAAATATTGCATGGCCAAACAAGCAAATAAAAGCCAAATGAAAAATTAACATAATCGCCATTTGCAAACACTTCCTGCTTCACCACAGCAATGCAGACCAGCAGGGAAGCTACCTCCGCTAACTGCCTATCAAAGCCCCCCCCATCCCCCACACTATGCCCTCCTCTCACTCCCCCACTGAGCCAGTTAACTCGTGTGCAAAGAAATGTATATTCCCTCTGTGTTTTTACTCTTATGTACTCTTATGACAATTATTTCTTTTACTTTTTTCACAATCTGTATATAGGAGGGTATGTGCATGTAAATGAGCAAAATTAAAGAAGAAAACTGAAAATACAAGTTGAAAAAAACTCGTAATACCTCACAGCTTGGGCCAGTAGCCTGGTGGTTACAGTGATGAATCTAACTTGAATATAGTGCCACCAGCAATGTTAACAGATGCAAATGTGAAAAGAAAGTTATCTGTAAATCTTCATTTATATCAAGTATTTGTAGATTTAAAAATAAATGTTGCGGGTTATCATCAGCAGTAGTGTACAGGTACTCCTCGACTTACGAACACCTGGACATACGACCACTGCAGTTGTACAAATTTTTTTTCAAATTACGTATTTTAGAGTCCCGGCGTTATTGATCACGCTGTGTACTGACAAAATTTTCATTTGTAATTCCCTTTAAAATGGCTGGCAAGCGTAAAAGTGAGAGCTCTCGTGGTGCTGAAAAGAAAAAGAGACACCCAGAAATTTATGTAAATCTACCCAAAAACACAGTTGAAAAATTTTGCATTATTAAAATATACAAAATTTTTTATCTTGTGCAAAATATATGACGTTTATATTCAACTTAATCACTATCTTATATGAATTCCAGCAATGTAAATCATATGTTCCCCTGTCACTTCTATGACATATTACAGTATAAGCAAAAAACAAAAATTCAATCTAAAGGACATAAATAAACAAATTACTACTTCACTAGACCTTCGGCGCCAACTGTCAAACATGTCACTTATTTTTCTCCCCTTCCTCCAGGCCTTCCCCCCCCACCCAGCTAGGGTTTGGTGGTTTTAGGCTTACAGTTTTTATCTTATATAATATCACAGACTAAAGTTAGGAGAATATAATTTGCATTGCTGGAATCCTTGTAGGACAGTGAATAATTTGAATATACAGTGAATGCCATATATTTTGCACAAGAGATAAAATTTTTAGTACATTAGTGTACTGTAGTACATTTTAATAATGTAAAAATTTTTCAACTGTATTTTTGGGTAGATTATATATAAATTTCTTCATTTATTTTTATTCATTTACATGCACACACCATGCTAAAAGAAATAGAGTACCTAAGTGCAAACCTGTACTGTACATGTACTAAATGATTAGGGTACTAAAAATTTTGTCTTGTGCAAATTATAGCTTGTTTATACAATATTCAAATTAATCACTATCTTACAAGAATCCCGGCAATGTAAATTATATTCTCCCACGAAACCTTACTGACATTTTATAAGAGAAAAGCTTAGTCACTCTTAAGGACTGATAAATAAACACACATGAGACCTTCGGCGCCAACTGTCAAACATATCACCTCACCTCCCGCTTGCTCCCTCCCTCCCGCTCCCTCCCTCCCTCCATCTCCCCAGCCAGGGTTTTAGGCTCACAGTTTTTATCTTATATAATATCACAGACTAAAGTTAGAATATAATTTGCATTGCTGGAATTCTTGCAAGACAGCGAATAATTTGAATATAAACGTCATATCTTTTGCACAAGAGATAAAAATTAATCACCTGTATCACATTACAGTAGTGATTTAAGAGTTATACAGTGATCCCTCGGTTAACGAACGCCTCGGTTAACGAATTACCTTCCATAAGAATATTCAATTCGGTTAATGAAAAAAATTCGGTTAACGAATTCTTTATGAATATTTCCCAACATGTTTTCGCCTGCTCACCAGCTGTAGTATTAGTCCGCCAGTACAGTAATCGGTTTTAGGGCTTAAATTCGTGACCATTTGAGTAAATAATTTTTCAAGTCTTAAATTAAATTTTTTAGCCATTTTAACAATTATTGAACATAATTGAAGTACAGGGAACTAGTTTTTAGCGCGCCAAACAGCGACTTGACTCACCCAGAATGGCGTCAGTTTGGGTCTCTGCTCAGTGGAGGAAGCATCTTGCTTGAGACTCTCTTTGAACATAAACTATTTTTACAGTACAATTATTGGTCATTCTGAAATTTATTTTACATATTGACAATATATAATGCAGTGCAGTGTTGATTTAAAAAAAATAATCTTGAATTACACCAAGTGAACTTAAACTTTTATGGGTGAAATGGCAGCATGAAGCATGGGGTGACTTCTCTTCCACCCCTACTTCTAATTCCCATCATCATCATCATCATCAACCAGGAGCCTTCCACATGCACACCTCAAAGTAAGTGTACTTTACTGCATTTATTTTTAGTTTGTATGTAATTTTTGGTGAGCTGGAACCAATTACCCAAAATCCCATTGAAACAATGGTTTCGGTTAACAAACGACCTTCTGGAACGAATTAAAGGGAAAAAAAAAAAAAAAAATTATATATATATATATATATATATATATATATATATATATATATATATATATATATATATATATATATATATATATATATATATATATATATATATATATATATATATATATATATATATATATATATATATATATATATATATATATATATATGTGTATATATATATATATATATATATATATATATATATATATATATATATATATATATATATATATATATATATATATATATATATACATATATACAGTTAACCCTCACTTTACGCGGTTAATGTAACCCGGAGGGTCCCGCGGAAAGTGAGGAACGCGTAAAGTGAATAACATAACATATGGGATTAATTGAAATGGAGTCCGGGCCGATCCCCAAACTCCACTTTTTGACGACACACAACTATGTTGTAGTAAAAATTTTATCTTAACTTTATGATGGTATGAAAAAACAAGTAATATAGAAGAGGTTAGGTTAGGAAAAATAAAGGTTAACATAGGAAAAATAAAGGTTAGGTTAGGAAAACTAAAAGTTAGGTGGAACACTTACGGTAGTAGAAGAGATGGGTCGGCATACGGGGATGGAGGCTGGTTCCGAGGCAGAGGGCAGATTACTGGCCCTCAGGTGAATCACCATTACTAGGTGAATCACCATCACTGTCACTTACAGTTGTCAGGGCTTCCCTGACAAATCCCTCAAAGTCATCTTCACTGCCACTATCACTGGCTTGGGCTGGCTGTGGTGGGTTGCGGGCGAAGAAATCTGTTATGCTTTGCTGACGGCTGGCGTTGATGTTGTCGTGATACACCTTGATGTACGGCTCCATAGCCTGCACCAGCCGGGTATGGAAGACTTCATAGCGGTCATCGTCATTGTCGCGGGAAAGGAAGGACTTCATTTTCTCTGCACACTCCATGGCACCCTTAATATCACTATGACTTAAACTGTGTTCTTCGGAGAATGACGCACCTTCTTCCTCCTCTTCACTGACGTGTTCTTCTTCCAACATCTCG